AATTGAGATAATTAAGTTGGGGTGAATAAAATGGGCATGCAAAAGCAATGTGCTTTGTAACGAAGGAATTACTAAAAAGATAATTTGCGCTGTACCGACTGGCAGGCGTCCGAGGATAGACCAAAACGAAGGTGGGAAGATTGCGTTAAGGCTAATTTGGTGGGATTAGGTTTAGACAGAGCCCGGTGGATAGAAGAATGTGGACATCGATTGGTGGTATCGGCATCGAACCTTCGGGTTCCTTATTATTTTAAGTCTTCTTATTATTTATTTTATTTTTATAATTCCTCCAACATTCGTTCATCATTATAAAGAACTTATACCTACTCTCATCAATCTACCTTATTGTGCTGGAGTACGATTTGAGTACCTTAAGTCAAAAATAGAAACGACCGTGGAAATCAAATGTCAAGAATACGCCACTCTAACGACTCTATAACACGATATTGAAGAACAATGGAGGCATTTCATTGTGTGTAAATCAACCGCTACGTGCCTGTATTTAGGTAAATTCGTGTACACTTAACACAATTTTCTTCAGATTTTATCTGATGGACGTGTAATGGCTTAGAAGGTGTTGACTTGAGAACTGAAATTTACAAACCAAGGTTGGGTAGTGTACCCAATGAGGTTTTATGGTCTAATATGAATTATTTTAATGTTAATATTTTTAATTAAATATATCATTTATTTTAAATAGTTGAAAACTATTAGAATTATAAACATTATAAATATTTATAGAATAGGAGTGCTCTACCAAATCCGAAGATTCGAAATTGCCTCGCGTCCTGCCAGAAGTTTTTTAATAATATATATATATTGATCAGCAATATATATATATATATATATATATATATATATATATATATATTGCTGATCAATAACTTTTTGCCATAGCTTAGTATTGTCAAACAATATTTCTTTTAAAAGGAGAGGAAATAGTGAAGATTGTGTGATGAGGGCAACAGATTTTCTTACTTTCACTTAGTCATTTAAAAATGACTTCTTTGGTGATACAAGAATAAAATCCCTCATTCACCCCTTTCTGACACCAAGATATGAACTCGTAATCATTCATTGGAAATTGAATAGCTGTAACTTCGTTAATAGTTGTCCGGCTGTGAAACGTATAGACAGACAAACAGACCAATGGATAAAAATGTGTTTTTCGGACTCAGGGGGCTGTGAAACGTATAGATCCGTCGAAAACCGCATGTCGGAAATTTGACCCGATTGCAATACTTTCCTTTCCTAGTATAGGTAGGAAAGTAAAAAGAAGACAATAAAGATTCTCACTGTCTAACAGAGAAGTTTATAACTATAATAATTAGGCGGCATAAGCCAAAAAACGACAAAAAAATTTCTTAGCTATGTCCATCGCTACCCTACGTGGTATATGAAAGAATTTATTTCGTTAATTTTTTTGTTAAATATTCTAAACAGCGTATAGTAGAGTTGGCCAAGTTAATTTTTATTTAAAAATAAACAAAAAAAAACTTTAGATTCATTTTTAGTTCACTTTATAACTCTTAAATACGAATTTTCATAGATATCAAAATTCACAAAATTTCAATACTTGATTTTCTTGGAGAATTTTTTTTCTCGACCATTAACTATATGATTTACAACTTCTCCGGATTTTCTAGAAATCCAACATTAATACATAAATACATATGTATGTATATATTTTTCAATCCAAGTTCTCTTTTTGTCACGAAAGACTATTTTAGACAAGAGAAAGTTATAGTAAGGAAATAACCGAATTAAACTATTTTCTTTTCTGTGATAATGAATACATCGAAAAATATTAGACAAACGTCTAAGCATTCCAACCGAAAAAAACGGAAAAAAAAATATATTTTATACAATTTCAAACAAAATTTATGTTACTTATTTTTTTCTTTACCCTCAATTATAATTTATTACACAACAATGGGTTTTTTTTTGTGCAAGGTAAATGAAAAATATTGACTAAAGTATTAAATAAATTATAAAACATAATTTGTAATAACCAAAGACGCTTCCAGTAAAGTTCGCCAAGTAAATTTTTATTTAAAAAAAAGTTAGATTCATTTTTATTTCACTTTATAACTCTTAAATACGAATTTGTTTATATATAAAAATTCACAAAATTTTAATACTTAATTTTCTTTGAAGATTTTTTTTCCCGACCATTAACTAAATAATTTATAACTTCTCAGGATTTTCTCTAAATCCAACATTAATACGACCATTGAAAAAGTGAATTACAGATTTTTCGACTAATTTTAATAAATGTATAACAGTAGAAAAAGAAAAAAAAAATGTAAACGTTTTTATTTTATATATTTGGTTCTAATTTAGGGGTTTTGCCATTTCGAAAAATCTATAGTGTTTTAAATCCTTTAAATACTTTATTTCCGACAACCCATTAAGTATTATCTGCAATATTTTTTTTTGTTCTGTACAAAAAAGGAATAGATTGATATGTGATAACCTAGAAATCTTGGTAAAGGAAAGGTAAAGAGGAATAATATAAATGTTTTTTGAATAATATATAATTTATTTTTCTAAGATCTACTGATATGAACACCGTGTATCATATGTTTCTATGTTGAATTAGCAATAAATATTTAATTGAATTCGGTGACCAATTGACTGAGATTATCACAGAAAATAAAAATAGTTTAATTCCCTTCGTACTTCATTTTATTGAACTACTGAACTACTGAAATATCATATAGAATAAACCCTGGCAAGAATTTGTTTTCCCCTTTTCTTTATATCATAGAATAAACTTCAACTCTAAATTAATGTAGGTATCCAGCATACATTTTACACATTTCCTCTAGGTTTCAAATCTATTTAAAACGTTAAGAATAATACAAAAGAAGATAAATAAACAATAATATTTCAATTATAATTAAATGAAAACCTCAAAGCGGGCATGAGATTAAAAATTCAAAGAACAGTAATAATATTCGTGTGTGGGAGTACCAACATGCCTCAACTCTCCACTTATGTTTGAGTTAAGCAATCTCTGTTTGAATTAAAATGCTAAGCACATACCACTCCGAAGATATAAAAATTATGAGCTTAAAAAAATTGGATTTATGATTAAATCTTAAATTTATTCTGGTTATACAAATAAAAAAAAAATAATTTTTCAACGGATTTTTATCTCATCCATTTTACCAGTGAAAATACACCACTCTATACGTAAATATGTAAGTTCATTATACTTTTTGTTTTATTTAATCCTCTAGTCAAATAGGAAATTCCAAATGTGAAATATTTCTGCATTTTAATATTAATTTATAATCAAAATTCACGAATATACAATCCGTAAATGTCCCGGAGTTGTTGTACTTAATTTTATTTAACTTTAATATAATTTTATTTATTTATTTTTTCACACCATATTGATATGCATTGACCTACTGAATCGTTTGCTTCAAAATATCGTTAAACTTTAGAAGAATATCGTTTAGCTTTTGCTTCAGCAGATAAATAAAATAATATATGGATTGTAACCACTTTTAAGTCATAAGTCACAGTGATATTTCACATATCCAAAAAATATTGATACGTTTCCAAATATTTTAACTCGAAGGGTCTCCGTCGTTCATAAATTAATCAATGACATGTTCAAACAGAATATTTTATAATTCAGTAAATGTTTAATAGTCGCCTTTAATTACCTTGTAAAATTACTAACAGGGATTTCAAAGGAAATTTATTCGAGATATAAAGATATAAATTGATTTTTAATATCATGCATCAACATATTTTGCTTTTAGATCTAAACCTACACAACAATTTCGAATCAAAATATCAAAAATTTAGTTCTATAACGAATTTTATTTATATTCTCATAGTTCGTAGTGAAATGTTGAAAGAGTTATCTATATATCTGGGCATGCATTAATAATAGATAAATTTAACAGACAGTATTATTTATTTTAAAATCATATCAATACCTTATGGTAAATTGAAGAAAAACTTCTGCGTTCGTTTCTCAGATAGTTCAATATTCATTAGGAGATCAAATCAACATGTTTTGTGAAGAATAACTTAAATAATTATAGCGAAGTATGTCGTAACGGAGATGAGACTACACTAACGGCGAAGTACAATATTCGAACTTGTACAGACATGTAGAGTCTAAAGTTCAAAGTAGTATATTATAATTTAAAAATATACATAATATAATGAATGTGTACAATAACGAGCGATTAATTTAACTGGCAGTATTATTGTATTTATTTCAAAATCATATCAGTACCTTATTTTAAATTCCAAAAATAAATTATCGTTCGTTTGTCAGATACATAGTTTAAAACCCTTATTCATTTGGAGAGGTAATAAATTTCTTTTATGAAGAATAAATTTAATTATAATCACGAAGTGCATCAGTACGGAGCTGAGACTACACAGAAGGAAAAATACAATGTTCCTACAGGTGGAGTCTAAAGTTCAAATTATTGAGTTTACAAGAAAATAATTTCAACGTGTGCATTTAATTTATAATTATATAAAATATTGACAATCACTCTACAAATGCCAGTAATTACAATTTTATTAGAAAAAATGTAATTATTTAGAAGACAGCACGGGTTACGCGTGGTTCACAATCACTACGATCATACTTGTTCATGGAGTATCGACATGTTAATGTTGGTGCGTACATTAAGAACCGATTAATTTAACAAATTTTATTATTGAATTGCCCTTAGTTAAGACACGTAAGGTCATCTCTCCGAAAGACTATGCATTGACAGGCATGGACAATAGACTATTCATCTTCTGGAGGACTGTGGAACCAGAGACACAGGATTTAGACGAGTACTCCCCAAACAGGCTGGAACCTACTCAGGAATTACAATTACTAAGAGAGTTGCGAACTGCTAATGTGGGTCGTTTAATCCGACACTGAGGAGATTGAAGGTAAATACAAACCGTAAGTTTATTTTCAAAGATCAAAATGGCTAAAGCTCACCAGTAGGTGTCTGAAGTGTGTAATGTTGAGCTTATTTCAATCATAGTCTAATATTAGTGCTATGAAGCTAATAAGATAGTTTCACCTCGATTTTAATCAATCAACTTTCCGAAAAACTTTAACAAAAATGTTAAAAATTGTTAAAAAATTTAACAAAAATCCACTGAGAACAAAATTCGAACCATTAGTGAATAATCTACATCCACATCCACACATATATTATTACAGTAAGGCTCGAAATCGGTTTTGTACCAAATATAAGCTCCTGTCATGCTCAAATACCATGAATGGGATACCGTTGGATTCAGAATTTCACGGGGGGGAGGGGAGGGGTTAGCGAATCGTATTCTCCACTTTTGTTTTTCTTTCTAAAATAAATAAAGTCGATACAAACATTTTGCTAGGCTTCAATACTGGAACGGTGGTAGGTCTGTAGATCGATACGGGACAAATTGGATGTTGAAGATTTTGATGCCTACAGCAAGACCCGGATAGTTCCTCCGGGACTATCGGATCCTGCGTTTTTAAGCCCCAAAACGTACTATTTTCGAGATAACGCAAGGTATAGGGTTCGCATCCATATAACCTTACGTTAATTGTAATTCTGTCATTGAATACATGTCTCATTTCATCGACTTGAGGTCTCTATGATCAAGAGAGGAGGAGTTTATATTATTTATCGGTGGTGTTTTTGATCGGCAAGCCATATCATCGTTAATTTTTCACTAAGTCTCAAGATTGAGCTACCAATTTCGAAGGCTTCTTTCTCCTTCAGGCGGGCAAAATAGTTCAATCACCCCGAAAATTCAGGCAAACAAGTTATGAAACAAAACAAACTTTATTTGCGAATAACTAAAAAATTACACACTTTTCCCTTGCCCATGGTACATCAATTCCTTTAAACTCAAAATTTAGAAATTACTTTTTTTAAACGAATTCCGATAACTCTATCAGAAATAACATATATAGAAAATTTCGCACCCATTAATGATTTGATGTAAATGTATAAGTGGTTTTTAATAAACCGTACAAACATCTATGAACAGGATTATTTTTAATAGTGAAGAAATAAATTACTGTACGTAGTATGGATGGATTTTTTTTAATTTGTTTTTTTTTTTTGGTCCGACGTTTCAGCAGAAGTTTCAGATCTTCTGCATGAAGGTTTTGGGAAGATCAGATAACAAGAAAAACATTATAAAAATGTTATCTACTGATAAATAATTGGTATTTAAGATAAATTTTGGCAGATGAAATATATTTTATTTTTATATTTTATTTTAAAAATTTTATTGTACTTGCCTTGTCCTAAGCCTTGACGAAAGCCTGAAACTTATACCGAAACTTCAGAATATAATTATATAAAAATTTTTATTTTACCAGAAATATTTGTAATTTAAGTAATTTATTCACACTCAACAAATTATAACGAAAATGTACTGAGACAGAGACATAGAAGTTGGATTAAGTGATGGCTTTAAACGATGAATATGTCTTTAATTTGCATCTGTGTGTTAGACCTTTGGTCTGATTCCTTTAAATATAATATTTAAAAAAAAAACAAAGAATCAATAAGTAGGATTTGGACTCGATGTGAAACATACCGAAAATCCTCAATTTTGGTGTTATTGTATTAAATTCTGTAGTTTGAAATGCCACTGATAATCTGGAAGATGGTCTCTAATTGAATGTTATTTCTTGTTATAGATCTATGTTTAATTCAACCCGGCGGTAACAAATTATTTATATTAATTAATTCAAGAAAGATACCCTAGTATCCCTCTTAATAACGACCGTAACCAATTAGAAGTTCGAGGATTAATGAATACATTTCAGTTAGAAGAAGCTTTTTTTTTAGGGGGTTATCCTGGTTTTTGCTACAAGAACAAGGGATGTTAAAGAACCACTGCCTTGTTTCGATCATAAATCACACTCGTGAGGAATAATATATTCATCACGCTTTTTGTGCTCGACGAGCTGGTAGCAAAAAGTTATACAGAATGCACGGGATCCGATTTTAATGTTGCTGCCAGCTACACACTTGAAAATAATGTATGCAGATTAAAACAAGCTATTTCCGAGAGGATTATCCTAACTGCGAAAAGTTTAGGCAGTTTCCGCGCGTATATGCATCCAGGGTGATGGGTTTATTTAATACTTTATTTCAAAAGGTAACTAAAAATTAATAGAATATAAACTAAATATAAATAGTGAACTATCATTCACAAGATGAAGCAGAAAGGTGTTCTGCTTAAACTTTTTTTTTTTTAAAGAATAATGAAAGAAAAGTTAATTTTATTCTGGAACATTAGAATAATTATAATTATGTACGTTTAGAAACGGGTCTAGAATCACTGAAAATAATCATTTTTAAAATAATGATTCGCTAGAACCGAAAAGCAGACTAATGGAAGAGAACTGGTTACCAAAAGTATGTTTACAAATTTTAACAAAACATTTCTCTAATTGGTGGGTTGATGGTTGACTGTAGTGAATAATGAAGAGAAGGATAATTGGGGTGATCAGTCAAAATTAAAATGGTAACTAAAAATTAATAGAATATAAACTAAATATAAATGGAGAACGATCCTTCATAAGATGAAGCAAAAAGGTGTAATACTTTATTATTTTTTTTTTAATAAGAAAGGAAAGTAAATTTTATTCAGGAATGGGTTGAAGCAGTGGTTCTTTAAAATAAAAAATAAAAAATATTATTATTTATTTTTGCCATTTTTATTTTTGACTGATCACCCCAACCACAGGCGAATCTACGGGGGAGGGCTTTCAGGCTGAAGCTCCTCCCCCCCCAAAATGGTAAAATATAACCACGTTTTATAGAAAAAAATATTAAAAACTATCTCTTAAATTATTATTGTTAGTGTGATTACATTTAATAGGACTTCAAGAATAACTAAGACACAATGTCATATGGGTAGTTAGTTTCTTTCTTTTTTTTTTCAAATTAATTATCGTTCTATATATGAAAAAAAAATCCTTCGGGCTGTAGACCCCCCAAAATTAAATCCTGGATCCGCTAGTGACCCCAACTATCCTTCTCTTCATTCCTCTAATTATTTAATTAACGCAAAATATAATTGGTACCTACAGTTGATACATATGCTGAGAGCAATAGACTCGGTTGAATTATTAAACATTAAAAATAAAGAATTATTTGAAGGGGAATATAAAAATGTTTTTGAAAAGTTAAATGTTAAATTTTTCCCTCGATATTTAATCTATATTGAACTCAAAATTCAATCACAACTTTAGAAAAAATAGTAATAGTAATTCACTGATGGTGAATATTATTTAAAAATCAATGGGTCAATAAAAAATCATAGAATGATTAGCCAACTAAGACTGTGCCAACCGGAGAACTTCTTACGATTTTCAAAATAGTTTTCTAGATAGAAGCGCTGAATGTTGGTAATTCTGATGATAAAGAACAGATAGTAAAATTATTACTTATAGAAAACAAATATGAACTCGGTGATTTATACTGGTATGTCGAAGATTGTTTAAAACTAAGGAATCTTTTTATGTTTATTCAAGAATGAATAATCTTATCATTAAGTTTAGGTTTATGATTATATGTAAATAATAATATTTTTTACATAATATTTTAGTTTACTTAAGATAGTTTGTATAGTTTATATTTGTACCAAACACAATTGTTTTATATTATTGGTTCTTACAATTAATGTATTTAATTTGATTTCATGAATATAAACGCAACTATATTTGTATGGGTCCGCCCAAAAACAAATAAAATTTATTTATTTTTTAATAATTATAATGAATAATGAAGTGACATTAGAAAACAATCAAGAATTAATTAAGTTACATATTAATCTAATCCTAAATTTAAAATAAAGGAAAAGAACAAGTAAACATATGAAATTATAGATAAATATATATTTGCACTAACAAGAAATATAGATATTACATAGGTATCAGATATATTACAAGGTTAATGAATGCCTGTAATGAGATTTGTCTGAAAATAAATAAGAATAAGACAAAATATTTGGTTAGCTGCAAGAAACGCGACAATTTCGGTGATATAGATATAGAAGCGCTTCTATCAGCAATCATGAAACCCAACTAACGAAAGACAAAAAAAATCAAATTGATAGAATATGCGAAAATGCGGAGGTAATACAAGAGCCCATTGGCGGGTCCAGGATTTAATTTTTGGGAAGAGGGGCTTCAGACCGAAAGATTTTTTTTTTCGTATACATAACGCTAATTAATTTTAAAAAAAACAAAAGAAAGAAATTAACTACCTATATGAAATGGTGTTTAAGTGGTTCTTGAAGTCCTATTAAATGTAATTGTACGTAAAATAATACTTTAAGAGATAGTTTTAGTATTTTTTTCTGTAAAACATGGTTATATTTTACCATTTGGCTGGTGGAGGGAGGGGGGGCTTCAGCCCTAAAGTTCTCTCCCCCCCTCCCTCGAAGATCCGCCTGTGCAAGAGCCCATAATAGTTAGATCATGCTTGTAAAGGAGGCAGTAGATCCAGAGGAACTCCAAATGAAAGAAGAAAAAAAAACTCTATACCCACAAATCACAGAACACAACACCGCGTGGGTTGGGTTCGAGTCACGCCGTGTACCTGTCATTATCGATGAGTCACACCATTCGATATTACTGAGCTTAAGTAATCGGCCAACAAGAGCTCGACTGTTTTGCAAACTCGATGTCAGCCTCGAAAGGTTAATAGAATCGGGAGAAATTAGTTTAGCAAATGTCAATGTATACCCTTGCTATGCCGAACAGCCTAGTTACCGATCGGGCAGCTAATGAGGTAAACAAAACTACTTAGACTGTTTTAGCGAGTAATTTATGAGGCAAGTTAGAACTGATCGTCTTCACAGATAATGTCCACTATTGGATAATTAGGACACAGTGCTTTTTTTTCAGTCTAAGAAAGACGGAGATAAGAGAAACCCCATAGGGACCAAAGTTTTTGCAAATGAAAAGAAAAAACTGTCCAGAACAAAGCAATCTTGAAATATTGAGCATTTCAGAAAAAAATCAAAGAAGTGTTGCTAAAAGTGAGACCAAGACGAGTCTTGATCTTGCGCAAGTCTCAGTTACCTATCAGCTTATTGCTAAAGAGATATTACAGTATTTTTTTAGATAAAAGAAACCTAACTAAGCCCAAATAAAAAGTTAAATGTAAAAGTATGTTGATTATACCAATTCTTTACATATAGTAACTAAAATTTTCAAGTATTAGTATTCGAAAATCGATTTTTTCTACCAGTCATGGTCTTGCAACAATAAGGTGGTCTTGGTCTTTTTCATTCAAAGTGCCACCCTAACCAAGACCGATTTTGGGCAGCACAAGTTCGAAGCTACCT